CTTTACCCCCTCCCTCCAACCTTTTCAAGGATGACCCCCACCCCACCTTCCTTCCCCTACAGATTTATACACTCTCCAAGTCATTCTACTTTGTTCCATTCTCTCTAAATGACCAAGCCACCTCAACAACCCCTCTTCAGCCCTCTGACTAATACTTTTAGTAACTTCACACCTCCTCCTAATTTTCACCCTACGAATTCTGTGCATAATATTTACGCCACATATTGCCCTTAGACATGATATCTCCAGCCTCCTCCTTGCTGCAGCATTTACAATCCATGCTTCACGCCCATGTAAGAGTGTTGGTACCACTATACTCTTATACATTCCCTTCTCTGCCTCCAAGGATAATGGTCTTTTGTCTCCACATATACAGTGGACCCCCGGTTAACGAACTTTTTTCATTCCAGTAGTATGTTCAGGTGCCAGTACTGACCGAATTTTTCCCCATAAGGAATATTGTGAAGTAGATTAGTCCATTTCAGACCCCCAAACATACACGTACAAACGCACTTACATAAATACACTTACATAATTGGTCGCATTTGGAGGTGATCGTTAAGCGGGGGTCCACTGTACCTCAACACACCACTCACCTTTCCTTCATCAATTCTAGGGTTAACCTCATCCTTCATAAACACATCTGCTGACAAGTCAACTGCAAAATATCTGAACACGTTCGCTTCTTCCATACTCCCTCCCTCCAGCGTGATATCCAATTTTTCTTTATCTAAATTGTTTGAAACCTTCATTACTACTCTTATCTTTGTTCAATTTCAACTTTCTACCTTAACACGCCCTCTCAAACTCGTCTACTAACCTTTGCAACTTTTCTTTAGAATCTCCCAAAAGCACAGTATCATCAGCAAAAAGTAACTGGCAATTCCCATTTTGTATTTGATTCCCCATAATTTAATCCCACCCCCCTTCCCAATACCCTAGTTCTTCTTCTTGTTTATTTCCACTTATCTCCATGGGGAAGCAGAACAAAATTCTTCCTCCATAAGCCATGCGTCGTAAGAGGCGACTAAAATATCAGGAGCAAGGTGCTAGTAACCCCTTCTCCTGCATGCATTATTAAATTTAAAGAGAGAAACTTTCGTTTTTCTTTTTGGGCTACCCTACCTTGGTGAGATATGGCCAGTTTTTTGAAACAAGAAAGATGATGATTAGGAAAAAATTAGTACTACTAGAAATTTTTCAAAAATAAAATAATTTTTTTTTTTGCCCTTTATGAAAAATATGCGAATTTTGATAACACTGTAATGTAATTTTAAATTCAATGGTTGTTATATGTACAGCCACTCCTCATTTAATGATGGGGTTCCATTCCCAAGAGTAGGTTGGTAAGCAAATTGGTTGTTAAGCGAGGAGCATACTATACTGGTAGTGGGTTTGTGTCAACTATCTTTAGATATTTTTTAATGTCATCTTTGCACCATTTATAACATTTCTAGTACTGTGTAATTTTAAATGTTTATACAGTAGTGTACTGTACAGTGGTACCTTGGTACACGTCCTTAATCCGTTTCAGGGCCTTAGATGTATACCAAACAAATTTTCCCATAAGAAATATAGGGAAAGCAATTAATCCGTTCCCATGAGAAAAAAATAAATCCTATTGTTATTGGCATATTATACATTGATTGGTTGTATAAAGTAATTTAAACACTGCTTGATACTAAAATATGTAATTTAAACACTGCTTAATACTAAAATACATAATTTAAGCACTGCTTAACATTAAAATACATACATAAATACAAAAGAATTAGATGAAATAAATGCAAATTTAATCTCACTTACTTTGCTGAAAAGAGTTGAGTGCCTACTAGGATAGTGCTGAGAAGGAAGGAAGGAGGCAATGTTATTGTTTGGAAGGACAGTTCCCTTCTCTTTTCTGTCTCTTTTTCCTATTTGGACCTGGTTCAAGCTCACCAGGTTTGACTTTTACTAAAAGTCTGTGCAAAGAATTTTGCTTCTGCCTTCTCCTCAAGATGTTTCAGAAATGTGACATTGTCTGGTCATTCCAGACAATGCTATTACAGCTTGTTTGGGCTCTGTTGGGGTGGCACTTCTCTGCAAAGTTTTTGACGTCCATCCATTTGGCAAAGATTTCCTTGATTAATGAAGTAGGGGCTTCCTCTATCTCCTCTTCCGAGCCTGAAGAGAGTGCATCCATCTTAGTCTTGTGCTCCTCCTCAAGTTCCTGCAGCTCCACAGTGGTCAGTTCTTCCCTCTGCCCCTCCACTAACTCCTCCATATACCATCACTCACATCCAGACCCATGGACCTGCCCAGAGAGACAATATCCTCCACTATAAACACAGCCTCAAAGCCCTCAAAGTCCCTTTCAGCCACTGCTTCTGGCCACAAATTCCTCCAAGCACAGTTCATTGTTCTGTATGAAACTTCCTGCCAGGCTTTGTCAATGAGAGTTATGCAATGAGGGATAGTAAAGTGATCTTTCCAAAACTGCCTCAGGGTTAACTCTGTGTCAGAGGTCACTTCAAAGCACCTCTGGAATAGTGCTTTAGTGTAGAGTTTCTTGAAATTACTGATGACCTGCTGATCCATGGGCTGAATGAGAGTCGTGTTTGTGAGGAGAAACTGTACAGTGATGAAGTCACTGTCCTTTGATGAAGTTACTGTCCTGCAAGCTTGGAGGGTGAGCTGGAGCATTGTCCACTATGAGGAGGGCCTTCAGAGCCAGGTTTTTCTCCTCTAAATAACTTTTTACACTTGGCCCAAGCACAACATTAAACCATTTGCTGAAATCTTCTCTGGTTACCCAAGCCTTGCTGTTTGACCTCCACATCACAGGTAACCGAGTTTTCTGCATGTCATATTTTTTAAAGGTCCTTGGGTTTTCAGAGTGGTAGATCAGCTTCAGTTTGCAATCCCTACTTGCATTGGCACATAACAAGAGGTAACCTATCCTTCATGGGCTTGTGTCATGGTAATGCCTTCTCTTGTGTAATATAGGTCCTGTTAGGCATTTTCTTCCAAAACAGTCCTGTTTCATCACAATTAAAATCTTGTTGGGGAACAAAACCCTCAGCCTCCACAAATTACCCAAACTCTGTAACATAATCATTGGCAGCAGCATCTTTATCAGCACTGGCTCCCTCTCCATGCCTCACAACACTGTGAGTGCCAGTCCTCTTCTTAAAATTATCAAACCAGCCATGGCTGGCTTTAAACACTTCACTTTCTTGGCTCGTTCCTGCCTTGTTTTTCAAAAGATCGGCATGCATCAGTTTTGCCTTTTTGCAAATCACTGCCTCTGATACGCTATCGCTGGAACTCTGTTTTTCTGTTATCCAGATCAAAAGCAATTTTTCAACATACTCTAATCTCCCTGATCTTTATTTGGTAATCGATTTCACCCCTTCACAACGTTAGCTGATTTAATAACATCTTTGTTTTTCACAATCATAGATACCGTTGTTCTCGGCATACGGTATGCAGCAGCCAAGTCCCGGATACGCATGCCACCTTCATACTTTTCAACAATCTCTTTTTTTCACCTCCATGGTGATCCTAACCACTTTCTTCATTGTTTGACTCTTCTCATTAACTTCCTTAGAACTCATGGTTCAAATTCAAATTCAAATTTTTTATTTCATTGCAAGTTTTCAATGTGGTTGACATATTGTAGGAAGTATATTTACATAGGTTGTTTACAGTGAGGATTTACAATGATTTGTAGTGCAAAGAGAGCCACTATCATGCCTTGGCATTACGGGCAGTCTAAACTTAATAGATTACTGATTACTTAACACTAGACGTACAAAACATAGTTTCATCAGGTTGTGCTAATTATACAATAGGTTATACATCTATTAAAATATATGTTATTCAACATTTGCATCAGGTTAAAATATGAAAATTTATTGTACCTTGATCATTTATTTTTGGGGTCCTGAGGCAAGGGGAGTAACACAGTGGGAAATCATATTTTGAGGCAGTGAAGAGTGATTTGGTAGCTTTGTAGGTAAAGTTAAGTACTGAGTACGTATTTAGTTTTGGGTGAGTATGTGGTTTTTAAGAAGAGTCTTGAATTGATGTACAGACAGGGTTCCTTTGGTATTCACTGGTAATGAATTCCAAATTTTTGGGCCCTTTATGTACACAGTTTTTACACAGTGTGAGATTCACATGGGGAACATCAAAGAGTGATCTGTGTTTTGTGTTATGGTCATGTGTCCTGTTAAGGTTGGTAAGGAGAAGTTAGAGAGGAGGGTTTATATTTGAGTGTAGTGTTCTATGTATGTAGTAGGCACAATAATAAGTAAGGAGGTTCTTTATGGTGAGTAAGTTTAGACTTTTGAATACTGGTGGAGCATGCTGTCTGGAGTGGGAATTTGTTATTCTGACTGCAGGCTTTTGCTGCTGGTTAATGAATTAACTAAAAACTTATACGAAAAAAACACAAAATCATGTGAAAATTCACAGAGTTACAGCGCGGGTTGATCACTGAAAGGTAGCAACAAGCATACTGACGCTAGTGGGCACCCAAATGACTGTAAACATAAAATTCCTAATAATTCCTAAGAATTATTATTAGTATGCCCGAAATGCCTAGGCATGCTAGTGGCCTTCTTTGTAATTAATATTTTATAACATGTAAACCACACATTGTAAGCTTTACAAGGAAATAAAGATTTTGATTTTGATTTGATTTTGATACAAGTTCTAGCATGTGAGTCGTATTCCAAACAAAGGTCGTATACCAAGCAAAAATGTTCGCGTCCAAACAGGACGTATACCAAGTTGGACTTATTCCAAAGCGGACGTATACCAAGGTACCACTGTACGTATAATGTAATAACAGAATATTGAAAATCACATTAATATACATTACTTAGGTTTGCATATTTCAATATAATCAAGTTCTAAGTATGAGAGATACAGGACTAAAAAATTGTACAGTATAAAATACTGTGCTTGTTCAGTGCAGGGAGCTACAAAACAGAGGAACCTCAATTAGAACTTACCTTATAACCCGATTTTTGAAAGTTTCGCAAAACAAAATAAATTCATGATCCGGGGAGAGCTGGACACCATTGGCAAAATGAACATTCTTCACTAGTACTGTGTTGGATTTTGTTTTAGGGTCAAACCTGAGCAACCTGTAAAAAAATTAAAGATATTAACACTCAGATTCATCTGTCAACTTTGAATTTTATTGACCTAAGTTACTACTACTATCATATTTACATCTGGACATTTGTATGGAATCAACATCTGTTGTGTCAATGTCTAGTGCAGGGTGGTCCAACTTCTTAAGCATTGTGAGGCATAGAAACCACCAACATATAGGTCATGAGACAGTGTTGTTAATTACAAGATTATACAAAATCATGATGTGATGTCAATGAATTTCAGGAAAGATGTTAGAAACTAATAAAACCACCTTATCTGTCAATTAGATATACTGTACTATATTCTAAAGCATCTTGGTTTAATGAATACCTAATCAGAGCATAACCATACTGGCCAGGAAGGCTGGAGGAACACAAGGGAAAGAAGACTTCAGTCAAACTGTCTCAAATCTGCTGCAGATTTTGGGTAAAATAGAAAAAAGAGAAGATACCAATTTCAAGAGTAGCAAAAATTTTGGCAATCTAATGAATACAGGTGAATATAATACTGGAGGCAGTAGTAGTAGTATAGTTTTGAAGTGAACAGGCCTTTAGCCTAGGTAGGTGGTGATCAGACCCTCAAGCTTAAAGCAGAGACCTTATATACAGGAAATGATACAAGGTGAAGCAGCCATAAGTGATGTCACAAATGAACATGGCCCACTAATGTAGTGCACAATGCTAAACAGTTGTTTAGCAAAGGGGTTTCAGAAGACTTCCAGTGTACCTGTATTCGGCTGACGAAGCCCATTGTGCAGGCAAAAATCTTTAGGCAATAAAGATACCTAAGTGTTGCACATGCATCATATTCATACATGTTGGTAGTGTATACCTTCAGCAATATAATTCTTTGCTGATACAGCAATACCATGGTATCTTGGTACATGGGAAGTCTTCTGCAACTCTTTTGCTAAACAACTCCTGCTGCTTCATTTAACATTGTCTCCAGTATACAAATTCTGGTTGTATGCCTTTGTTTTAGTCTTGAGGAACTGACCACCACCTACCTAGGCTGAGGGACTGATCACCTCAAACTATTTCTGCCTCCAGTGCAATATTTGCTTGTACTCGACTGAAGAAGCATGTTGCTCAGCTGAAACAATCAGCAATAGTTACCCATGTGTTGCAGGTGTGCCTTGTTTATCAAGATTTAAAATTTTAAGGTAGTAAATAAAACATAATAAAACTGAATATTAAATTACTTAAAACACATATTGTTCTAGGTTGTAGGCTGGTAGACAGCAACCACCCAGGGAGGTACTACTGTCCTGACAAGTGATTGTTTTACATGATGGTAGGATTGCTGGTGTCTTTTTTCTGTCTCATAAACATACAGGATTTCAGGTACATCTTGCTACTTCTACTTACTCTTAGTTCACACTACACATGCATGTACTAGTACAGTGGTACCTTGAGTTTCGAACAGCTCCCAACTCAAACAATTATGTAAGTGTATTTTTGTAAGTGCTTTCATAAGTGTATTTTTGGGGGTCTGAAATGGACTAATCTAATTTACATTATTCCTTATGGAAACAAATTTGTTTGGTATCGGCACTCGAACAGCCTTCTGGAACGAATTAAGTTCGTAACTCGAGGTACCACTGTATGTATATATATATACACCCCTCTCGGTTTTCTTCTATTTTCTTACTTGTTCTTGTTTATTTCCTACTTGTTCTTGTTTATTTCCTATCTCCATGGGGAAGTGGAACAGAATTCTTCCTCCACAAGTCATGCATGTCATAAGAGGCAACTAAAATGCCAGGAGCAAGGGGCTAATAACCCCTTCTCCTGTATACATTACTAAAGTTAAAAAGAGAAACTTTTGTTTTTCTTTTTGGGCCACCCTGCCTCGGTGGGATATGGTCGGTTTGTTGAAAGAAGAGAAGAAATACATATTGTGTATAAACAGAAATAATGATTAAAACAACATAAATCAATGATTTTACAGAACTGTAAGCGTTATCTAACACTATATTTTTTTTTTATTTTTTATTAACATATCAGCCATTTCCCACCAAGGAAGGGTGGCCCGAAAAAGAAAAACTTTCATCGTTCACTCCATTACTATCTTGCCAGAGGTGCGATTACACCACAGTTATAAAACTGCATCACTAATACCCCTCCTTCAGAGTGCAGGCACTGTACTTCCCATCTCCAGGAATCAAGTCTGGCCTGCCAGTTTCCCTGAATCCCTTCATAAATATTGCCCTGCTCACACTCCAACATCAAGTCCTAAAAACCATTTGTCTCCATTCGCTCCTATCTAACATATCACGCATGCTTTCTGGAAGTCCAAGCCCCTCGCACACAAAACTTCCATTACCCCCTCCCTTCAACCTTTCCTTGGCTGACCTCTACCCCACCTTCCCTCCACTACAGATTTATACACTCTCAAGTCATTCTATTTTGTTCCATCCTCTCTACATATCCAAACAACCTCAATAACCCGTCCTCAGCCCTCTGGATAATAATTTTGGTAATCCCGCACCTCCTAATTTCCAAACTACAAATTCTCTGCATTATATTCACACTACACATTGCCCTCAGACATGACATCTCCACTGCCTCCAGCCTTCTCTTTGTTCAAACATTCACCATCTAGGCTTCGCACCCACATAAGAGCATTTGTATAACTATACTCTCATACATTCCCTCTTTACTTCCATGGACAAAGTTCTTTTTCTCCACAGACTCTTCAATACACCACTCACCTTTTTCCCCTCATCAGTTCAATGAGTCACCTCATCTTTCATAGACCCATCGGCTGACACGTCCACTCCTAAATATCTGAATACTTTCACCTCCTCCATACTCTCTCCCTCCCTCCAATCTGATAACCAGTCTTTAGTTACTTATATTCGCTTTTGTTAATTATATTCACTTTTAATTTTCTTCTTTTACATACCCTACCAAACTCATCCACCAACCTCTGAAACTTCTCTTCAGAATCTCCCAAAAACACAATGTCATCAGCAAAGAGCAGCTGTGACAACTACCACTTTGTGTTAGATTCTTTATCTTTTACCCCACACCTCTTGCCAACACCCAAGCATTCACTTCTCTTACAACCCCATCTATAATTATAATGAACAACTATGGTGACATCACACATCCTTGACTAAGGCCTACTTTTACTGGGAAATAATCTCCCTATCTCCTACATACCCTAACTTGAGCCTCACCATCCTCGTAAAAACTCTTCACCGCTTTCAATAACCTACCTCCTATTCCATACATTTGTAACATCTGACACACTGCTCCCCTATCCACCCTGTCATACACCTTTTCCAAATCCAAATTACGTATTAATTTTTTTTTTTTTTATCACACTAGCCGATTCCCACCAAGGCAGGGTGGCCCGAAAAAGAAAAACTTTCACCATCATTCACTCCATCACTGTCTTGCCAGAAGGGTGCTTTACACTACAGTTTTTAAACTGCAACATTAACACCCCTCCTTCAGAGTGCAGGCACTGTACTTCCCATCTCCAGGACTCAAGTCCGGCCTGCCGGTTTCCCTGAACCCCTTCATAAATGTTACTTTGCTCACACTCCAACAGCACGTCAAGTATTAAAAACCATTTGTCTCCATTCACTCCTATCAAACACGCTCACGCATGCCTGCTGGAAGTCCAAGCCCCTCGCACACAAAACCACCTTTACCCCCTCCCTCCAACCTTTCCTAGGCCGACCCCTACCCCGCCTTCTTTCCACTACAGACTGATACACTCTTGAAGTCACTCTGTTTCGCTCCATTCTCTCTATATGTCCGAACCACCTCAACAATCCTTCTTCAGCCCTCTGGACAACAGTTTTGGTAATCCCGCACCTCCTCCTAACTTCCAAACTACGAATTCTCTGCATTATATTCACACCACACATTGCCCTCAGACATGACATCTCCACTGCCTCCAGCCTTCTCCTCGCTGCAACATTCATCACCCATGCTTCACACCCATATAAGAGCGTTGGTAAAACTATACTCTCATACATTCCCCTCTTTGCCTCCAAGGACAAAGTTCTTTGTCTCCACAGACTCCTAAGTGCACCGCTCACCCTTTTCCCCTCATCAATTCTATGATTCACCTCATCTTTCATAGACCCATCCGCTGACACGTCCACTCCCAAATATCTGAATACATTCACCTCCTCCATACTCTCTCCCTCCAATCTGATATCCAATCTTTCATCACCTAATCTTTTTGTTATCCTCATAACCTTACTCTTTCCTGTATTCACTTTTAATTTTCTTCTTTTGCACACCCTACCAAATTCATCCACCAATCTCTGCAACTTCTCTTCAGAATCTCCCAAGAGCACAGTGTCATCAGCAAAGAGCAACTGTGACAACTCCCACTTTATGTGTGATTCTTTATCTTTTAACTCCACACCTCTTGCCAAGACCCTCGCATGTACTTCTCTTACAACCCCATCTATAAATATATTAAACAACCACGGTGACATCACACATCCTTGTCTAAGGCCTACTTTTACTGGGAAATAATTTCCCTCTTTCCTACATACTCAAACTTGAGCCTCACTATCCTCATAAAAACTCTTCACTGCTTTCAGTAACCTACCTCCTACACCATACACCTGCAACATCTGCCACATTGCCCCCCCTATCCACCCTGTCATATGCCTTTTCCAAATCCATAAATGCCACAAAGACCTCTTTAGCCTTATCTAAATACTGTTCACTTATATGTTTCACTCTAAACACCTGGTCCACACATCCCCTACCTTTCCTAAAGCCTCCTTGTTCATCTGCTATCCTATTCTCTGTCTTACTCTTAATTCTTTCAATAATAAGTCTACCATACACTTTACCAGGTATACTCAACAGACTTATCCCCCTATAATTTTTGCACTCTCTTTTGTCCCCTTTGCCTTTATACAAAGGAACTATGCATGCTCTCTGCCAATCCCTAGGTACCTACATATATTAAATAATTGCACCAACCACTCCAAAACTATATCCCCACC